GATGGCAGCTCCTGGAGCAACTGAGCGTCCTGGATTAGAAAGCAATAGATTTCTTGCTTCTGCCACAAATTCCCCCAGCTGTGAGCCTTCCAACTTTCTAAATATTCCTTTATATGTGGTTCAGAGTTCTGAGACCAGCCCCTGAGCCTGCTTGGTCAGGTATTCTGTGATGTTGTTGGCGGAGCTCCACCTGATCCGCCATCTTGTTTGTTCTGCTGCATCACTATGTTTTATAAGGAAAGCTATTGAAACTGATGTGTAACGTTTGTAATATTCTGACATGAAATTGTTGGTTCTCTTGTAGACTGGCGGAAGGAGCACTTCCAGACTTGTGAGTGACTTGGAAATTCTTTCTGGGAGCTCCTCTTGTCTGGGAGCTTCTGGCCTCTCCTTTGGTTCTCTGTGGTGATACAGATGCAGGCACCACTGGTTTTGGTGGGTGGGATGTGGAGGGGGTAGTCATGTAGCTGAGGCTAGAGGGTATGACAGATGTTGGTTGCTAACTAGATATTGCTGAGGCCCAGGAGTCCAAACTGGTCATTAAGGGCACTGTGATGGAGCCAAACTTCAAATCAGTCTTTTGGTTCCTTATCCTGTGTGGAAGACTGTGGACTGGAATCACTAGCTCTCAGTCCAAGTGCTTAGCCTCTCATCATGGCACTAAGTAGGTCTGAGGGAAGGTGGTTTTGTGTCCTTATTTTAATGCAGGGGAGGGGCTTGTATGATTTGCTAACTCTCTTTACAGGGTCTGTCACTCTGGATCCACAGTCTGTCCATCCCTGCCTTGCCCTCTCTCAGGACAACATGAGTGTGACCTTGAAGGACAACTGTGAGGACCTGAGTGATGACAGATGCAGTGTGGTGGGCACCAAGGGCATCACATCAGGGCAATATTACTGGGAAGTGGAAGTCAGAGATGGAGGCACAAGCGAGTGGGCTCTGGGGGTTTGTAGGGAAGATGTGGATAGGTATGGGTGGTTGAGACTGTGCCCAGAAAACGGGTTTTGGGTTGTGGCTCTTTTTTCAAGTGAATATTGTGCCTTTACTACCCCTGATACATTGCTAACTCTTAGACAAGCTCCCTGCCAGGTGGGGGTTTTCCTGGACTACGATGATGGGGATGTCTCCTTCTACAACATGACTGATGGTTCTCATATTTTCTCATTCTCTCAGGATTCCTTCTCTGGGGCTCTCTTTCCATATTTCATAATTTATTCAGGAGCCCTATCCCTCACTATCTGTTCCATGGAAGGTGGGCCCAAGGGTACACCTATGCTTCTTAACACATTTCTGTCTTCTTTGGATGAGTCCATGAGTCCTCCAGAGGAGGGGTTGAGATCTGGCTCTGGTGGTGATGGTGTTCTCCCAGGGGTTGAATCTCCATTACTCCCCTCTGGCCCCAGGGCTGTGCCCCCATAAGGACCTACCTTTGTGTTACTTCACTGTGGCTCGTCTTGGCACTTCAGACTCCTCAAGGTGAAAGATTTTGAGGTGAGTGCTGGATGGCACTGGGAGCCACGTGTTTTGTGCTTTTGGATGTGTGTGACTCTAAGAATTGCCAGTTCAGGTCTTGTGCTCCTGTAGTAAGAAGAAAAAAGATGACTTTTATTTGAGTTGGTTCACTGTTGGTAGAAATTGACTGTGGAATGTTGTTTTACTTTGGTTATGAAAAATACTCTGAGCATTTTATACTGTTTGTATATGAAACAAGAGGGGTTGAATCCTTTGTGGCATAGTTTGCTTTATCCAACTTGACTGTGTGCTGAGTGTGTGACCCTATCTCTATTTTGAAGGGTCTGGGCAATTTGATCAGAAATGTCCATCTTCAGATGTTTCCTAGAAAATGGTAGGTTGGACCTCTTAGTAGTAAACAGTTTTTATAATTCATTGATTGTTTAGTGGTATGCTGTTAAAACCCCACATATTTATATATTCTAGTTTCTCAAGGAGCTCTGGTAGTGTAGTGGTTACGAATCGGGCTGTGAACTGCAAGGTCAGCAGTTCGAAACTACCAGCTGTTCTATGGGAGAAAGATGAGGTGTTCTGCTCCCATAAAGATTTACAGCCTTGGAAACCCTGTACAGGGTCGCTATGAGTCGGAACCGACTCCACAGCACATAACAACAACAACAACAACAACAGTTTTCTTTTGATTATTAAATTCTAGTTTCATCACACTGTGGTAAGAAAGGATATCTTTAATGGTTTGTTTCTTTAAAATTTTATTGGGGCTTGCTTTGTGTCCTTGGGTATGGTCTATATTATGGAATGGTCTATGTGCCCTGTAAATGGATGCATATTGTACTGTTAGTTGACATTTTTTATATTAAAATTTTCTGTTTTTAATTTACTGATATGGCTCCTGTCTCCTTACTGGACTTGGACTGATCGCTGTTGTTGTTCAAGTTCACTCTCCTAATAACGTGAAGGGAAATATATTCATTGGGGTTGTTGTCGAGTTATAAGTACTCTCTATATCTCTATGTGTTAATATATATGTCAAGTTATAAGTACTCTCTATATTCTCTATGTGTTAATAATCTGGTGATGCTATGGGTAAATAAGTGTTTCACTGCTAACTGAAAGGTTGTTGGTTTGATCCCACAGTAGCTCTGTAGGAGAGAAGACCAGGCAATCTTCTGCTATAAAGATTAAAGCCTAGAAAGCACGATGTGGGCAGGTGTACTCTGTCCTATAGAATTGATATGAGTAGGAATTGACTGGATGGCACAAAACAACAAAAACACGAACACCACCATCTGTTAATATGTTACCTTGTTGTTGTTATCATTGTTTTTCTGGGTAGGATCTCGCTCTCCACTCATACTCTTCCTTCCTGATGGTCCTGGACTCATCTGTTCCTGAAATGAAAGATTAACTACTCTCCCCTTTTAGTTACACATCTTCTACAATTATAGTTGTGGCTATGGTGATTAACCTTGATAACAATTACACCATAAAATCCCATCCTCTTTTATCAGATCCATCTGGAAAAGAGGAAAACTATTCAGTGGGGATTTTATGTTACCACCCTCATTCTGAAACTAAGCACATTCATGAAAGTTTGTAAGCCAGCCACTTTGTGCTTCTATAGCTCCCCAGTTTTGATAGTGTCTAAATTTCCCTATAAGCCAAGTTCTGGTGTGGTCCTGCAGGCTGATGTGCTGGACTGCAAAGTCTGTTTGAACCGCAAGGTCAGCCGTTGAAACTCACCAGTTGCTCCTTGGAAACCCTAAACAGGGTCACTATGGGTCCGAACTGACTTGACGACACTGAACACCACCACCACCACCAACAACAAAGTCAAGCCAATGAGCTGAGGAAACAAGCTTCATCCTTGATATGGAGAATCCTCCCATTCAGTTAGAATTTTGAGCAACTGTGTTTGTAAGCAAAGGCACAGTTCATCAAAATGTAGCAATTTATGCTTGCTCACAGTACCAACCTTCTTTATCTTCATCTGGTTGAATTCAGCTAGTCATCCAACTTAGGTGCAAGTTTGGGAGTTCATGTATGCTTCCCCACACTTCAGACCACCTTACCACTTCACTCTCCACTATAGCCCCCAGTGATTAGGTCAGTGTCCATGGGCTCAGGAGTTTACACAACTCCCCAAACTTCAGACCAGACAGTCCTTCTTTTCTCTCTCATATCAATGTTAATGGGTGTCAATGGAACATGGCCAAATTCAGCCTGTATCTTCATTTTGCATTTTCCTTCACTTCAACTCATGGTTAGACCAGGGCGGTCACTAGAGAGCATACTAGACTGCTCATGGGTTCCCTTTGAGATTCAGT